AATTACAGAACAGAGGTGTCAAAGGTAACCTGTGGCCATTCCCACCCCTCCACTCCGGAATTCGGCCCAAACCAGACGAAAATGTAATTAAGGAAATATTTTTTAAATAAATAAAAATATAATAAAACATGGTAATATGTGGTTTTCTAAGTCAATACATGGCCAGCAAGAATATGGCCCCCATTTCTATTTGACACCACTGTCACTGAAGACATGAATTGGTCTAGTCCAGGGTTGGAGAATCTGTGGCCTTGAGGCTGAAGCCTCCCCACACCGACTTACCTCCCAGCACTACTCTGGTACTATCATGGAATATCACACTTTTAAAAGTACATAAACTTTAAAAGGATAGCAGTTGGAGAAGGGCTCTTAAAACCAAACTGGTCCCCAAAAGATGACCATCCCATTGTAACCCAAAGGGCCTGGCTCCGCTGTGTGGGATTTAAGGGGGTGACAGCCTCTTATGCCTCAGCATCTCCATCTATGAAATGAACACATCAGTACTCATTCCTTTGTAACTCATGGGGTTGTACTGAAAACTTTTAGTGAAAAGAAACTTTCTAACTCTAAATATTACTTTGAAAGGTCAAATTATCTCTTAATTAATGAAAAAGATATTAACTCCAAAAAGGTAAGTCATCTTCACTTTGTAAAATCTGGTTTCAGACAGAAGAGAAAATTATTAAATTTAAAATATCTAGAAAATGAGGGGTAAGAGGAGCTGGAGTCTTCCTGTCTCTGATACATACTAATTGTTTAACTACAAACATGCTACTTACTCAGGCCACTCTGTAAGAGTGATAGAAGAGTTGTTCATCTGCATCCATTACTATGCCAATAAAATCACAGGTTAGGAGCAAAAAAAAAATTTTTTTAAAGAGGTTTCTCCTACTTTTGGGTCTAAATTAATCCCATCAAACCTCTCAGAGACAATTTGTATTTCTTTCAAGTATTCCAATAATTGGACTACAGAGCAGCTTTGAAATTAGCTAGGTGGTACAGTAGATAGAGTACCTGCCCTGAAGTCAGGAGGACCTGAGTTCAAATCTGGACCTCAGGCCAAATACTTGACAGTTACTAGCTGTGTGATCCCCGGCAAGTCACTTAACCCCAATTGCCTTAAAAAAAACAAAAAACCCCCCCAATAAAAATAATTTTAATTTCACATGCACTCACTCTAAGCAAATTCAGGAATAATCAATAAACCAAAGTCTATACATAGACCTGAGTCACACTTTAATATCAATGTCTGAGGGAGGAGTGGGCACACACTTACTTACACGAGTGAGGAAATCACATACGCTCAGGGTAAAAAAAAAAAATAACTAATTGGCACTTATATGAGCTAATGAAAATTTGAGCAGAACCAGGGGAACATTGTACAATAATCAGTTGTGAATGATTTGGCTATTCTCAGCAATACAGTCATCCAAGACCATCCCAAAGGACTTCTGATGAAAAATGCTACTATCTCCAGAGATAGAACTGATGGAGTCTGAATGCAGATTGAAGCATACTATTTTTTACTTTTTTGTTATGGTTGTTTTGAGCCTGTTTTCTTTCACAACATGACTAATATGGAAATGTTTTGCATGACTGCACAGGTATAACCTATATCAAATTGCTTGCTGTTTCAGGGAGAGGTGAGGTGAGAGAATTTGGAACACCTAAATTGAAAAAAATTTAAAAATTGTTTTTACATGTAATTGGAAAAAAATAAAATATTTCTTAAAAAGGAAATTAACTGCTGCCCAATCAGATGTTTTATCCCTGGCAAAACACAGCATCAAAACTAGTTATATGCTGCATCTTTTATCTGTGTTTGAAAAAAAGGATCACTTGATTTGTTTCAGAGTTTTAAAGGAGTTTGGACTGACAAGCATTCGAACAAAAGTGACGTCCATTCCTATTGGTTCTAATTTTTACTTACAACATCAGTAATGTGAAAATATGTTTAATAGGAATGTATATGTATAGCCTATATTAGATTATGTGCCATGTTGGGGAGGGTGGTGGGGAGGAAGGGGGAGAAAAATTTTAAACTCAAAAGCATATGGAAGTGATTATTGATAAATCAAAATAAATTAATAAAAAAGAAAATTGCAGAGGATCAACAAAAACATTACAATAAAAACTAAATCATGCAAATAAAAAAAAGTGACATCCAGTCATTTAAATACATGGGCTAAATTTAACTTGTTGACTTTAATAATCCCATTCCAACAGTTATTCTCACCACCTTACTTTGAAAATGTATTAAGTTCCCAGTGCTGACGTGGAACATAGTCCTTTAACCCTGAAGATACTTTTCTCCTGTCTTGTCCTGGCTGACATACAAAGAATCAGTTGTCATGGTGTTGTCTTCCAACTTTCTAGAGGGGTTCATATATAAAGTTCATCTTCTCAACTTGCTTTAAAAACAAATAAAATCCGGCTTTAAAAAATAATTTCTGGAATACCCAAAACCTCCTTTTCTTTTATCCAACAATCATTGAGAATTTAGTCTCCAATCTTTAACTAAAATAATAAAAAAAAAATTTGCCACCTTTGTATCCCTACAGAACCATCCTCACCGAAGTGCTCACCTCAAGTTAACAGCTATCATGGGAAGAAAAGCTCAGGCCAAGAGCAAATGAAAGTTCTTTCCCATCTTTGGTGGTGTCAGATAATTTTGGCCAGTACACTCAAATGACAAGCTTGACTTGTGAACGTCGGAACATAGACTACTCAGAGGACGTATGAAGTGGACCAATTTCTTTATAGGACCCCACTTGCTTTCACTATACTAATCCTTTTTATGTTTGTGAATATTAAAACTGCCTTGCAAACAAAGACAAATAAATCCCCATGGTTTACATACAGTAAAATTTTAATCATAGAAGGTATAAAATGAATTCAGCAGACTTGACTTCTACTTTCCAAAGAGGAGTTTTGCAAATGCTTTACCAGTGCCTGCATCCTCAAGCTAGTGTGGAACTCCCCAGCTATAACCCTTTCTATTTAAAGGGTAACACTCAGAGTGTTAGGTACAGCTTCTGTTAGATGCAGCCTCATTATTTTTACAGTCATACCTCACACAGGGCAATGCAAAAGCCTTGGTCGATGTCTTCAAGCCATGCCCTAATTAAATCATCTACTTTCTGTAGTTCTGAGCTAGCTAGAAGGCAGTGGATAAAGCACGAGCCTGAGGTCAGGATAGACATGAGTCCAAATCTAGCTTCACACACTTACTATGTGACTCTGGGAAAGTCACCTAACCCTCTATCTGCCTCAGTTTCCTCAAGCACCTCTTTCACAGGGTTGCTGTGAGCATCAACTATCTGTACATCACTTAGCTCAGTGTCTGGCACACAGAAGGTACTATATAAATGCTCTTCCCTTTTTGTGTCTCATATATATTAACTTTTACCTCACTCCATATTCATGTATGACTATAGAGTACATTAGCTGTGTGACCTCAAGCAAGCCATTGAAACTGTTTCCCCAACTATAATATAATGACACTTGATTACACAATTCCTCAGGTCTCTTCCAAATCTAAATTCCATGAATATGGAGCTGGACCTCAGAGAGCATTTATTGCTGTGGTTTTTTTTTTTTTTAGGCAATTGGGGTTAAGTGACTTGCCCAGGGTCACACAGCTAGTGTCAAGTGTTTGGTCTGATGCCGAATTTGAACTCAGGTCCTCCTGACTTCAGGGCCGGTTCTGTCCACTGTGTCACCGAGCTGCCCCTCTCAGAGAGCATTGAGTCACAGCGTTACACAGGGCTCACTAGTGTAAAAAGAGCAGAGCTAAAACTCTGGTTTCTCTAATCCGAGCTTGTGATTACATTGGACTGATTTCGCTAAGATGAACAAAAGAAAATTGGTCTCAGTATATATAAGTTATACTGTTCTAGTGCTCTACTTCTATATGCATTTCCTACTTAATAAGTTCCCTGGAGTACTTCCAGAGCAAATACCCCTTCTCATGTGACTGATTAGGCAAAACCCCAATTAGCTAACTGTTTGGCAGCATTCTGTGGGAAACGGCCTACTGTACAGCCTCAGACCATGGATTCTTAACCTGAGGTTCATGAACTTGTTTTTTAAAATACTTTGATAACTGTATTTCAATATAAGCAATTTCCTTTGTAATTCTATGTACTTTATTTTATTCACTTACAAACATTATTCTGAGAAAGGGTCCACAGGCTTCACCGGACTACCAACGGTGCCTGACACTCACAAAAGGTTAAGAACTCATGCCTCAGGGGCAGCTAGGTGGTGCAGAGGAATGGAGCGCTGACCTTGAAGTCAGGTGGACCTGAGCTCAAATCCGGCCTCAGACACTTGGCCCTAAATTAGCTGTGTGACCTGAGCAAGTCACTTAACCCCAATTGTTTCACATTAAAAAAAAAAAAGAAAAAAAGAAAAGAAGTCATGCCTTTTAGACCAATGGTTCTCACGATGTGGACCACCACGGACTGAACTGTTAAGGTTTATATTCAGCCACTCATTGTTTTGGCATGAACTGGTCACTTGGGCTCCATCAATGCCTTAAAAAGCAGCACCATTGTTCTTGTCCTCCCCTCATCTTTTCCAGGGGAATGAAATGCTGCAAGAGGGAATGAATAATCCACAAGGGTATGAGGAGGATTTTTTGACCCCATTAAAGTGATTTATGGACCAGTGGAGTCTGTCACTAGTAGAAAAGAAGCCAACAGCTAAGGTCAGACATCACCAAGACATGAACAATTTTTTTTTTTTTAAGGCAATTGGGGTTAAGTGACTTGCCCAGGGTCACACAACTACTAAGTGTCAAGTGTTTGGTCTGAGGTCGGATTTGAACTCAGGTCCTCCTGACTTCAGGGCTGGTGCTGTATCCATTGTGCCATCTAGCTGCCCCGACATGAACAATTTTTAAAGTAAATAAGAGATTTATAACATTTCTCATAATGTTACCTTCAGACTTCCTCTCCTACTCACTATCAAAAAAAAAAGGAAAAAAAAGATCCAAATGGCAAAACAAATGTTTATTAAAACTAGTATTAGTTTGAATTTATGATAAAAAATAATAGAAATAAGTGAAATCAAAAACCCAAGACATAAGTTTATAACGTGGCTTTATGTAAGTATATTAACACAAGCAACTTAATCATTACACCCACCAGAATCCATTCTCTCTCCAAGCAAGACCTCTAGGCTACATGCAATGTGTTTAGAAAAATAGACATTTACACTTAATATTCTTAAAAGAAGTAATTCAACAGATTTGAGTGGCTGTGCTTCGTGTTCTTGTTAGACAAAGTGTTATTCTTGCATGCTTCTTTAGGTTGATAATGCTTAGACTTGCAGCTAATGTCCTCTAAAGGTGTACCTGTTTACACTTTCAATCTTACAAGAGAAGCAGATATGCACTAGACACATGCAAACCTTGTCCCTGAGCCTAAATGCGCTCTTACTACAGCATGGTTTGGTTAATACACTAAATATACTGCAAAAGGGAACAGATGACATACATTTAATGAAGAAAAAACAATACATTTAGATCCTTCAAAGCATCAAAGTGCAAACATTTAAGGTTTGATAGTAAACTAATCTTTTCCCAAAGTAAAGTTTTTCTCCTTTATTATCAGCCTTATGTTGAACTTTTAAATTTGACCTACTTTTCCAAGGGGGAGGGGGATACAGTTACAAAAGAATTCTGCAGTTACCTACTTCTGTCTTTCTAAAGTTTCAGTTTGTTTCAGTTCCTACATAGTTTATCTCGCTTTTAGTCACAGTAGTCTGGCACAATAGGGCAATAACAGTAATATACATGAGAGCGCAACAATATATTTTTACAAGAAGTTGTTTCAAATATGAAGGTATATGCATGAAAATAACTCACATTTACATAGTGTTTTAAGGGTTCACAAAGCACTTTCCTCACAAGAAGCTCATGAAGAAGGCACTATAAATATTACCCTCACTTGACAGGTGAGGAAATCAAGCCTCAGAAGGTAGAATAATTTGTCCACAGCCACAAAGCAGGTCAGAAATAACCTGTCCCCAGCTACACAGCCTGCCAAGCCCAGTGCCTCCTGGCTCCACATTTAGGGCTCTTTCTACTGGACTGTGCAGTCTCTCTTCAAACAGCTGAGGTTTTAATGGCAAAACAAACTTTCAGGTTCTTCTAAAAAAGCCACTGACAAAAAACAGGTAGTTTCACTTGGTGGTGGCACACTGAAACTCTGTCAATAGTGGGACTCCTCTTCCGCTGCAGGGGCTGCTGGTCAGAAGCCTCTTTTAAAGGTCAGTTTTTTCTTCATAGCGGCATTTACAGGCAGCTCTCTGGCTGTCCAGGTAGGGCTTACAGCCTAAGTGTATAACCCCATCAAACAAGAGCTCCATCGCGGATTCACAAGCTGCAGAACAAGCAAACGCCATCAGTGCAGGCCAGGCTGGCACAGCCTCGTCACTGTCAACACTGCACATACCACAGCAGCCCAGTGATCCAGGCAGGCTTTTAAAAGCTGTGCCAGATTCACCTTAATAAGGCAGCATGACTCACTGTGGCCTTAATCTATGTCCCCCTCCTTGTTTGTATATTCCCACGTCCTTGAATCACCATGTCTATGTGCTGACCTATTCATGTAATTCACAAATGATCCAAAGCCATTTTTAGCAACACTCATATTGTCAGTCACTATTCTTTCCACTTTTTTCTACGAAAAATGTAAAACGAATGAAGGTTGTGTAACGCTGTTAAATCTGTTTTTTACATTCAGAGAGAATAAAGCCAGGAAGGACACAACAATGAATCATGCACCTAATGCCTTTTAAGCGATCACTTGTATGATAAAATGTTTATAAGGTACAGTAAGAAAGTTCTTCTTTTAATTTGATAGGTATGAATTTCACCTTTTAAGTAATTCCAATTTTTGCTGAAATATTTCATTCCAACAGGAATCAACATTTTCTTTGGAGGTTTTTAATTAAACTAAATACTAATTACATAATAATAATTTTCTATGTGACACAAAAGATATAGGGGAAAAAAAAGTAATTTAACAATTGCTTTCTGTTTCCAAATCCTGGTAAAGCAGATGAGGAAAAGAACTACAAGCTTCAGAAATGATTTGTGCCACATGTATAACTGGTATCATACTGCTTGCCTTCTCAAGAGGTTGAAGTGGGGAGGGAGAGAAAGAATTTGGAACTAAAAACTTTTTTAAATGAATGTTAAAATTTTACATGTAATTGGGAAATATTTAACAATTTTTTTTTAAAAGAACGAAATGTGTTAGGTGACTTCTATGGTACATATCACAATGTACATATAGACCGTGGCAGGGGATATGTCACACCCCAATAAAGCCTCCACAAGGCCAGATCTGGCTGCTACCCCAGCTAAGTATGAACATCAGTCTTTTATCCATTACAGTCACACCCTGTCAGCACTCCCCAGGTCCTCCTTAGGTCCTAAAGACTTTTTCTGAGCAGGGAACCTGCTTTGATTTAACAGTAGTGTTTAACTCTGGGCAACTAAGATTTATTTCAGGAATGGCAAAGTAAGGGTTTCCAATGAATTTTTGGTCCCTGTCCTCCCAGTTGCCCCACTTCCTTCCTCTACTTCCACCTCTTTTGTTTTTGTTTCATGTAAGATCTTTTAAAACACCCAGACCAACCTGCTTTTAATATGGAGGTTAACAGAGGTTAACTCTGAAACAGCAGGCCTACAACAAAGTTGTAATGAAAAAGGCTTCTCTCACTGGTACTGGAAGCTGAATGTTGTTACTACCGAGTATTTAAAGGGACCAGTGATACGTGCCAAAAAATGGTTAAGTTAGGGCTTGAGACTGACCATCAGCATCATTGTAAAAGCATACAAAAGTGGGTGGCACTAGCATTTAGATCGAGGTAGGCATGAATTTCATCGAATCCAAGGAGGTAGGCAGTTTTTTCCACCTCTGAAAATGGGTCCAGCATTGAAGGTTCACAGGAAGCTGAGATGTGTTGGGACATCCCAGAATGGGCATCACCAGCTTTGAAACCATAAAAGTCACTGAAGGAGGGAACTACACATGACCCGTTGCCTCTAGATCTTTAAAATAATGCAGGTATTTAGAGCCCCTGCGCTGAGCCCTGATTAAGCCAGCATAACAGTATGACAATTAAAGAGACAGTTTCATTTCTGTCTAAAGATTATGCCAGGCTGCTGATTAGGATTAGAATGAAGAAATAGGACTACAACTTTACAAAAAAGGTAAAAATGAAGACCATTGCAATACTTTTTGATTTAGCAAATCTATAAATAATCTATAAATATTTTGCTTCATTTTGTTTTTTCCTTAATTCTTTAGAAAGCTAATTTCATGTCAACTGAATCAGAGGAAGAAAGCTTTTCCAATTCCAACCACAGAGTCAGGGGGTACTTTCAAGTTCCCTCATGATTCTGTGGTTGGTTTCCAGCATTGGGAAAAAGAAAAAAAAAACACTTTTGGAGCAGGGGCTTAGGGAAGGAACTGTAGGAGTTTTCCCCAAGCTCTCCTAAGGTCTTTCTCCAACTAAAAAAATAAAAAAGACACAAAAAGTCTCCAACCTAAAACCCTTTTCTCTCCCTCCAGCCCCTCCTTACCTTGCACATTCTGCGCTAGCCCCAGTGTTTTCTGTACTTCTCTGCAGATCTTGGAGAGGCAATGATGAAACTGCTCATCACAGTCATTCTTGGTGCTGCCACAGGTCTCATAGCATCTGTCGTGATGATTGCAGCACTTTGTTACTGAAGGGATGCCGATGTTAAGCTAGAAACGGGGTTTTCACAAAGGTTAGTGTGTTCAATCCATAGAATTCCAGGTCCCTCTGCCTGGAGGATGGCATCAGATGGTCTGGCAGAATAATAACCAGGCTTGTTACAAACATCTTTCAGAACCTGCACACCGTCACCCCAAGAACAGAATGTGCACATTCTCCATCACAGCTGTCTGTGGTTTTGACGATGTTCTCTGCTCTCTCCCATCACACTTCTTGTGGCACCAGGACACCAACAGCTCCCAGACATCTGCCCCCAGCAGACTCTGATTCCCCAGAGCCCCAACCTCACCACTCTTAACATAATCATCCATCGAAATCCAAAAGCAAGAGTCCAGCCACTCTAGAGAGTGGTCTGGAACCACACGCAAAAGGTCAGTGGATGAGGAGCACCTCGGACTCAGGAAAAGACCTCCAAGAGGTCAAAGCAAACACAAAGGACCCACACGTACAAACCTAAGTTGGGCAGCACTTTTTGTGGTATCAAAATACTAAAAACAAAGTAGGTGTTCAATAACTGGAGAATGGCTGACAAAATTATGATATAGGATTGTAATGGAAGAATAGTAATGCACTAGGAGAAATAAATGATAGATATGGAAAAACCTGGGAAGATTTGTATGGACTGATGCAGAATAAAAAGAACAGAACCAAAAGAAGAATTACAAAATAACCACAATAATGTAACGGAAAACATATTTTAAAAAACAAGAATTCTTGCCAAAACACTGACCAAACATGACTTTAGAAGACTGTGTGGCAGAGACATGAAAGACATTTTCAGATATAGCCAATGGTACTGATTTGTTTTGGTTAACTCTGTTTGTCAGTCAAAAGAGAGGGTGTATTGAGGCGGAGGGTTGGGGGACACATGGGGTAGAGGGAAAGAGAATTACTGGGTATTAACATAGAAGAGAAGAAAGAAGGAAGAGAGTGAAAAAAACTGAAGAAAAAAGGAAGCAGAAAGCCAATAAAATAAAAAATATGTAGATGAAAACAAAAGTTAAGAAGGGAACAAAACAGAGCCACTTGAGTGATTATGGTGTTAAACATACACCTAAAAAACTTTATATATTGACATGGTTTCATAGATTGATCCCTTTTCATTTTTTGCACATTGAAATATTCATATTTATTCTTTGTCAAGTTCTTGATTAAAAAAAGAAAAAAAGGAAATTTAAAAAAGAACAAAGCAGAAAAAGTTTCAAAAGCAAGATCAAGGGAATAATATTTCTTTGGGGACCCAAATGCAGGTAAAGGTGATTCTACAAAGTTGTTTTACTATCACTGAAGATTGTCTAGATCTAAAATTTCAGGGAATGGTATTATTTTCTAGTTTCTTGTTTTTCCCTATTGCAATGTTACCAAGTAGCCTACTGTTCAGCATTTCCAAAGTGACATTTTGAGGTGTAATGTTTTCTTTTTATCTATAGTATTTTGTGTACCACTAAGTTACACATTTGGGATATTAAGAAATAACAGTTCAAATTGTGTTAAGATCACTAAGGCTGACAAATATTCAATTATTATCAGCAATATAATGAAAAGACTGATAAATTTAATTACTATCAACATACTAAAAGTATCCTAAACTTACAACTATACAGATGGTTATCCAGTTGTCAAATATTTGGCCTATTCCATTTTTATGTAGTTGGTTACACATTTAATAAGCAAAAACTAATAACACTTACATGAACACCAAACACTGGAGAGCCACATCCATTTGGAGGTGAAGGTTTATAGCCATAGCGAGGGAAGGGCTTAGATCCTGTAAAATACAAAGGACACCATTAAGTTTTAGTAACTACTTTACAAAGACAAAACATAAGTTACTGGGGAACGGTTGCTCCAGAAATATGTAACAATATGTGTGTATTAACATATATACACATATATTTTTAATTTGATTTTTGGAACAGCAGTTTATCATAAAGCCTTAAAAACGGCTACTGTATGCTTAGTCAAGTGAAAATCTGTTTTGGGCTGACGAATCACTCCATATTTTACCCAAACCAGGCTACCATACTTGACATCTCAACTCTTCTTCTCTATGCATTCTCACAAGCTGAAAGGCCTTTCCTTCTCACTTCAGTCTTTCAGAATCCCTTTTCTCCTTAAAGAGTTAGACCTGAGATCATAGCAACTTTTCCAGGAAGTTTTCCCTCATTATCTCAGTGGTTTGGTGCTTTCTGCTTCCTCAAATTGCCTTATATTTATTTTATGGAATTTCCCTTCATTCAAAGCTCCTTAAAGGCAGAGCAAATTATTTCTGTCTTTGTACACTTAGCACACAGTAGGTGTTTAATAAACTATTCAACACAAGCAATGAACATCGAAGTGTCTGCATGTCTCCTGTGGAATCCATGCTTTCCTTCATGAATCAGTACCCGTGCCATCTGGTGCATAGAGGAAGCCTTTCCTCATCTCTCTAGCTATAAGTGCCTCCCCATCCAAAGTGACCTTGTATCTGATTTGTATGTGTCTTGTGTCTACATGTTTATACGTACATACACATTTGCTGACTACCCTGTTAGGATGTAAGCTCCGTGAGGGAAAGGGGGGTTTCACTTTTGCCTTGGCAGCCCCAGCACTCAGCACAATGATGCCCTATCAGTATGCTCTTAATTTTATGTATTCACTAAGTGAATATACACCCTTTACATCTCTACAACAGCTACTACAGACTATGAGATTTGATCTTCAGAACATCAAGGGAATAGCAACATCCTTACTAAAAGACCAATTTAATTACATTCAACAGACTGTACTAAGGCAGAAAGCTTTTCAATAACCAGGGATTGTTTCATAAAGGTCCTGGATCTCTGCACTCCTGTGTCATTTTCTACTTTTCACTCTCCCTTGCCCCATAAGCCTGGAGCCTGCCCCTTTGCACCGGTATCCTGTGTGCCTAGAACACATCCCCTCCTGATTTCTGCCTCACAGACTCAAACCCTTACCTCCCTCAAGCACCACCTTCTACAGGAAGCAGCACTGATTCCCTCAAATGCCAGCGCCTTCCTCCCTCCCTAGGACTTCTTCTGGACACACTTACATATAAACATGTTGTCTCCTCCAATAAAATGTAAGCTCCACAAGAGCAGGGATTGTTTCATTCTTAGTATTTGCACCTCAAGTGCCGAGCAGTGTCTGGTACACAGCAGGTGCTTAATAAATGTCTGTCGCCTAGGGAGCTTTTCCCAAGTCACAGTTGGAAAAAGTCAATGTGTGTTAGGGATAGTGCATGATCCTGGGATTTCAAATTAAGCCCAGAAGCTTTATTTATGTCATCTCATTTGATCCTTATAACAACCTTGTGACGTAGGTGCTGCTATCTCCAATTTATACAGGAGCAAATTGAGGCTGACAGAGATCAAGTGACTTGCCCAGAAAAGGAAGAATTTGAATCCATATTTTTCTTGCCTCTAAGTTCAGCACAATATCCACTGTATCATACCCTTAAAAGCGCTTTCCTCAAAATAACAGGAAGTACAAATATTATTAGTCCCATTGTGTTAATAAGGAAACGGAGTGTTCAAGGCAGGATGCAAATAAAAAGATAAGCATCTGTCTCCAGGAATGGTAAATAATGAAGGGAAACAGTGCTGAACCTGAGGTCAGAAGACCTGGTTTAGGCTCCTCCTCTTCCTAGCTTTTAGCTTTGCAACCTTGAACAAGTATACTTGTGAGGGAATCTGCTACCTCAGTGTACTACTGTGTAATGATGAGGCTTGGGTTTAGAGCCACAGGTCCAAGACTCAAAGCAACCTAACCTCTCTGGCTTTTGTTTGTTTGTTAGAGAGAGAGAGAGAGAGAGAGA